AATAGTTATATTTCTATTAGTGGACATTTTAATTCATTTATCTACAAGCGTTTGGTTATGACGTTTTTACATAACTATTTTTCTAGTATTTGAGTTGTGTTATGAGACTCATAACACAACTAGTGGTGTTATAGACTAGGTTATGAATTCATAACACAACTAGTGGTGTTATCGACGAGGTTATGAATATTATAACACAACGATTTTTGGTGATTTGACAAATGCCAAAGGTAAACCTGTAAAGGTAAAATGAAGGTAGACAACTACTAATAAACGAAAATAATTAAAAAAACATTCCTATTTTTCGCTTTATAGATAAAACGTTGTACATCACGCGCGCGTTTAAACATGACTACAAAACTCGTGTGATTAGAACGACTCGGTCTACGACCTCGTCGTTTTAATCTTTCACACTCGTTATTGTAATCATGTTCATAAACGCACTTGTAATGTAAATAACTATTATTTCATTTAATAAATAAAAGGATCTTTTCTTTTAATATTTAAGTATAGTTTTTCCAAAGTCAATTGGAACAAGGTGAACATAAATCATAACTGGTGGCTGACTAGTGGCAGTGCATTTCTTATGGAAATTTTCGATGACCAGTCAGCTACCAGTTGGTACCTTCTTCGAATTGAGTTTGGAAAGACTATACCTACTTTTTGCAATATTAATACCTGAATTATTTTTTTTTTTTTTTTAATATCTCGTTTAAGGCCACTATGATTTCTGTTTACATTTAAGAATAATAAAATAAAAAGTGTTTTGGTCTGACTTTTTGTTTCATTTATAAAGTATCTTATTTCTAGGCATTGAAATTTTAACGATTATTATTTCACGATATCGATTTCTGTAATGTATCAGTGGTATTCGTACTTTTACCAATGCGGTGTGATAAATCCTGAGATTTACTGTTTGTGTCCGGTAAAAGTCCGAAATGGAAGCAAAATAACTAGTTTTCGGGCTTTTACCACTTGCTTTTGGTAAATCCTACGTTTAGCGTGCTTATCCTAGGTTTTACCGAATTTCGGGCATTTACAGTAACATATATATTTACTGAGATACCCCAAGAAACTCCCATTGTTTATAATAGATATATACCTATATAATATAAACTAACCTCGATTGGTCAGGCTCCAGCCCCAAGCGGATGGTAGCTTTTTTGGGCTTCCTTCCATTCCCAGCCATGTTTGTACTTGCAGGTATGTGGTATGTCCTATAGAAGTGGTACATGGCGGCATCTCTTGTAGGTGGTAACCTGGCAAGTTGAAATTTCAAGTTTGCCAAAACGTACCGCAGATCCTCCAAATTATCTGCGTCTGAGTAACCAACGTGCAATTCCACTAGGAACTTCTCTCCAGCTTCAGTAATTTGGTGTGGTCTTGCGTCAGGATCTTTGAAAACACTAAGTATTCCTGAGAGCCATGGGTTTTTTTTATAAACTTGCATTACCTTCTTCTTTCCAATTCCGAAGAGTGCTGAAGTGGTATCACATCCACTTATTGCGTGAAGAAAGAAAATATCCTGAGTGTTGATTTTGCAGGAATGGGATGAATACAAATATGGGGAGTGCCACTCTTTTGGAAATAAATGCTCTTTTCAGAGAAAGCTGATGCTGTCAGTGAAACCAAAAGATCGATGTCTTCTCCTGTTATGATGACACTATCAAAGTCAGCAGATTTTGATGTAGCAGTTTCCACTATCATGACTTCGGCATCTTCTGTTGCCTGCTTCGCCTGAATTCCCTTGGATTCCATTTCAGTAATCAGCATTGTGATGAAGTTTTTCTTGCTGGTATCGTTGGAGAGAAATTTTTCTTATGAAATGGTGGGAAAAGATGTTTTGGAAAACACAAAATTTGCCGAAGAGTGCAGCAAAGATCGTCGATATCGTTCTACTGCTTTGGTGCTTTGGTAACTTATGCCAACAGGATACCCATCAAAAACCACTATAGCATTGCTCCCGAAGTGTCTTTGAACATAATCAACGTAATTCTGGCACACCAATTCAAATGTCGTATCTCTTGATTTGCTCCACACAACCTTATGTAGAAGGTACCCACCATCAATAACTGCGCATATTTGCTACTGCTGAAGTCTACTGGTTCTTGTATAGGAGTGAATGCCGTATACAACATTGACTTTGTGCCCTTGTGCATACCTTCCTCTGTGAAGAGAGACATTGGGATTGGGGCTAGCTCGTATTTTAACAAGTTTCTAAGGTCATCATCTGATTGTTTTATTATGCAAATCCGTTGAAAGAAAGTGACAAGGTCTATTGTGAACTTTTTGTCGTTAATTTTCACACAACAGGAAACAGATGCTAGAGAAACGACCTTATCTTTCCACTTCAATTTCATGCCTTGAAAATTCCCTTTTTCCAAACAGTTCTTCATACAGGTGATACCAATAGTTCGAGCTAAGTAGCAGTTGACAACTTCAGGGGTAACAGCTGCTGTGCCCATTGTGGATGGTCAGCCAACCAATTACTAAGTTTCTTGATGTCGATATTATCCTGGTAGCACGGAAAGGCCTCATTTCCACGTGCTGCTCAGTAGTCTCTGAGCGTTCTCCAGCAAACATTTTCATTTGCTCATTGACACTCAGAGACATATCATGCCTACAACCCATCGAGAAAGCACACTATCACTAACACCACGATCACGAGTCAGCCCGCCATAGCTCTTCATAGCTCACATGGGAACCTGTTCTATGATCATATCTGACCAGATGCCTGACCAGAATTTGTCGGTTCTGCGAATAGTGTCCCTTAGTACTGAACTTTTCAAATTCTTGAGAATCTATTTTCTCTTTTAAGGTGATATGCTGGTAGAACAAGTGTGCACTTTTGGCATAATTTAAGTGGCCAGCAGCATGGAAGTAGGGGATCATTTCTTTGACTGAGTCGAGGTAGAGGTTTCAGTCACCCGTACGTTCAGCTCTAATGAAATTTTTTATTAGGGTACACAGGCGGAAGTATTGGATCGATAGTGTCGCAGTTGGTCCTCTATCCTCAATTTTGTTCAGCACTTTCGAGAATTTAACTCTCACCGCATGCAATGCTGGATGCTTAAAATCTATATTGGACTGGTGAAAAGGATCGATAACTGTATCCAGTGCAAACAACTCTTCTTCTGTCAATTCCAAAACTTTAAATATCAGACCACCCACAGCAGCGTAAGCAAGGCTATATCGTCGCTTCTCTGACAAATGGGCGTAAGCGACAATATTTCTGAAATACAGATTATTCCATGAAAATATCTCTATGGAGTATATATATGATCTGACCAACGGGCGTAATTGTATAAGTAATATCTTCCCTATTAGAACGTGGTTGGTATGGGCGGAAGCGACATTAAAAGTAACCGCAGGATCTTACAAAGAGGCGTATATCCCGGAAACGAATTTTGTCAGATTTCCAACTAATAATGTTTGGCTGATGTGCCCCCGATGAGTTACTTCGCACCGGCAACCATGTAGCATAAATTGATTCATAATCATTTCATTCGCTTCCTGGTGGTGTTAACCCTGCAAGGTTTTCTACATTTTTTTGTTGAAAGTGAAGATATTAAGTTTGAGTTTGAGTGTTCCTTTTAATGCAGTGGTATCTTTTTATAGGTAAGTTATCAGTAGTTATAAGTAAAAACAACATGAAAAAGATGGCACGCACCCTAAGAACAGAAGGAAAAGCATACGTGAGTCCCTATTTGAGAAAGCAAGTTCCGCAAAGAATCATGAAGCCGCGATGTGATTCTCAAAAATGTAAAAATTATGGCTGCAAGTTGTTTACTGACGAAGAATACCAAGAAATATTTCACGCTTTCTACAATATACAAAGTCTTCAATTACAGAGGGAGTTCGTTGTGCGCCATATCAATGAGAATAATGTTAAAAAGAGAAGAACTGCTGCAACATAGTTCATAAGAACAACAACTTTGGCTTATTGTTTACCAAAGGCAGAGGATCATTAACAGTTTGTAAAATTTCCTACGTTTCAGAACACACTGGCAGTTTCCGAAAAAGCAGTTCGGACGACAATAAGCAAGAGAACGGTGGAAGGCATAGTTCCGTTCGATAAACGTGTAGGGGGTTGCCTTATGCAAACTTGAAACAAAAAGACGAATTTATGAGAGCCTCAGCTCTGGCTCACATACAAAAGTTCCCAAAAATGGAGTCGCTCTTTTATAGAAAATAGACTTCAAAAAAATATTTACATCCCGACTTAAACGTGAAGCAAATGTTTAACTTGTACCAAGAAGAGAGCCTGGAGCAGCCAAAATGCAGCTACCATACTTACTTTGAGTATTTGAATCACTGAATCTGTCCTTCCACCATTCCAGGAAGGACCAATGCAGTCTTTGTTTGTCGTACAGGGAAGGTGATGCAAATAAAAAATTAGAGTTTCAAGATGCATACACTGCAAATGTCGCCGAGAAAAACACTGTGTGCAAAAAGAAGGAGGATGCTAAGGAAATGCCCAAAAACAACCCAGCTTTAATAACTGCTGCTGTTTTTGACATGCAACAAGTTATTCAGTTACCTAAAGTAAAGAAAATGCATTGTCTTATCGTCGTCGTTTGTTGGTATTTACCTTCAGTATTCACAATATAGGCAATAGAGAGTGCTACTGCTTCTCTTGGTCGGAAGTTATGAGTAAAAGAGGTGCCGATGAAATGTCTACATGGTTGGCAGATATTTACACAACTGGACAACAAAGGAATAAAAGAAGTAAGCAGGCTCTTCGCAGATGGTTGTGGTTGCCAGAACAAAAATACAATCGTTTTCACCATGTTACTACAAGTTGTCGCAAATTCAAAAAACATACGTGAAATTGTATTATCCTTTTTCCAAAAAAATCATGGGCAAAATGAAGGGGATTCCGTTCATAGTTCTATTGCAACAGCATTTCGGTCCGCCGGAAATAATTATATACCAGTACAGTTCAATTACCCCCCATCTTTAGACTCGCCAGAAGAAATTTTCCGTACACGGTTTTTGAAATGACCACCGAAGAATTTCTTGATTATAAATCATTGGCTGATAAAATCCGCCTTCGCGTGACCAGAAAACTAGACTCTGGTGGAAATGTGGACTGGACCAAAATTAAGGAAGTAATGGTAAACAAAGATGACGTCACTGTAATCGATATTAAAAAAAGTCACCATGATGCTGAATATCAGCAACTGCCACTACAAAGACTACCACCTGACGTGCTCCAAAAACCTATACCCAAATTAAACAGTGGCCAGATAAAACTCCCAGCAAATAAATACAAAGATCTTACGGATCTATGCACAGATCGGATACAAGTCGTACGAGACAAAACTTTCAAACAATTCTTCATGGACCTTCCCCATGATTGGAATAATTAGCTTCTCGTTCTCTTTTTTTAGAATAAAGTTATTTTGTTAATTTCTTGTGATTTATACGGATTAAACCGATTTTTTTTTCAATGTTAACTTTTGTTTGTGTTTCGTTCATAAAGTGGGATTTTCTTTTTGTTCTTTACTGCATATTGTTACTAAAGTTTTGTTAAGTGCATTACTAGGCTTATAGTCCCCAGTATATCGACCTTAAAATTTTGTAACTCATGTACACGCCCAACTTCCTGAGCGGCTTCATAACACCAAGTCGGACAATATTTTTCATGTCTCCACCCTGGGCGATGGGACATTGCTGCGCTAGCTCTTCGTGAAGTTGTCGTCCTGACGTCCCTAAGGAAGTTGATACATGTACGTGTAGTTTCAATGCCAATCGATTGTTTTTTACATTACATTAACGATATCACATTTGTCGGACAAAAACCATGTGGCTTTGGGTAAGGTCCGACACCCCCAACATGTCGCTGTGGCGTCCCTAAGGATGTTGATACATGTACGTATAGTTTTAATGCCAATCGCCTGTTTTTTGTATTACGTTAACGATATCATATATGTCGGACAAAAATAACGTGGCTTCGGGGGGGTCCGACGCTCTCAACATGTCGCTGTGGCGTCCCTAAGGAAGTTGATACATGTACGTGTGTTTTTAATACCAATCGACAGTTTTTTACATTACATTAACGATATCACATTTGTCGGACAAGAAATTTGAGACAATCAATGAAAAAATTAAAATTAGTTTGCCTTAACGCAACGTGCATGTTAGTCAGTTTATTATTTACCTACTTTGTCAAATACCTGTGGGGTCCTGTGTCATATTCCCTGATCTGTTTTTTTGATAGGTCTTCTAGTATTTACGGAAATTATTTAGTGAACGGTCATTCAAAACCACGCGTGTGAGAAAGAATGGATATTCAGTCGTGTTTTTTGTGCAATCTCAAGAGTGAAGATCCTGAATTTCGGCAGAAATTGATCAAAAGGACTTTTGTTGTCCGACTGACTTTAATACCCATTTTATTTGTCCGACATTTACTACACATGCTTTAAAAATAGCATTGTTATTCATAATTATTTTTGTTGGACATACATATATCAACTTCCTTAGGGACGCCACAGCGACATGTTGGGGGCGTCGGACCCCCCCAAAGCCACGTGATTTTTGTCCGACCTATGTGATATCAATAATTTAACATAGAAAACAGTCGATTGGCATTAAAACCACACGTACATGTATCAACTTCCTCAGGGACGCCACAGCGACATGTTGAGGGCGTCGGACCTTCCCCAAAGCCACATGATTTTTGTCCGACAAATGTGATATCGTTAATGTAATATAAAAAACAATCGATTGGCATTGAAACTAAACGTACATATATCAACTTCCTTAGGGACGTCAGAACGACAACATCACGAAGAGCTAGCGCGGCAATGTCCCATCGGCCAGGGTGGAGATATGAAAAATATTGTCCGACTTGGTGTTATGAAGCCGCTCAGGAAGTTTGGCGTGTACATGAGTTACAAAATTTTAGGTTCGATGTACTGGGGACTATTAAGTAAGATAACAATAATATTCAGATCTGACGAAGGGACGTATGCCCATCTAAGTCATATTTTATTATGTTCGCCTGAAATTTCTTGAATTCGAATAGTAATTGGAAAAAGTAAGTGTATTTAGCAGTCTAAATAAAATATTATCACTGAAACTGCTTTTCAATTAACACAAACACGGAACCATGTATATGATACATTTTCTTTAAATTGCTTTCCTGTCAAATAATGCTTATGGTACTTACGCCCATTTGTCAGATAAGCGACGATATGCACGTACAGCCCTGGCGTAAGCATGTCCAGACAAAATCAACACTATTTGCTGCAAAAATCTCGCGACACAGCTCTTTTAAACCGCTTCCAGCCATAATATTTCCCTTGGCACCTATGAATGACATTAGGAGGTGGAAACCTCCTAGCCTCACAATGACGTTGCTGAACTCTGGAATGGAGGCAACCACATCACGAGCTTTCCAATAGAATGGTTGGTCAAATGTGACAACACATGTTTTCTGGTTAATTCGCTTACATTCTTCAATTGCAGTGAGGATGGATGTATACACTGTAGAGTAATCACTTGGAAGCACAGAATCTTGAAGCGTTCATATTTATCTTCTCTTGTTCCCTCAATTCCATGAATCTATTCCAACCGGGTACTGATAATAAGCGCGTGTTTTTTCCATACAGCCAGGCAATATCAGAGGCAGAAGGTACAATGTCCTGTACAGAGCTGATACTTATGTCAAACAATTTTACAGTTTTCAATCCTCCATTGTGTGGTCGGTGATACTGCTTAACTTCAACACTGCCAGCTTTGCCAATTAGGTCGGCTGTTGGGGTGACTTTCATGCGAACTACATTTGTCTCACTGGTCACAGCATTTCGTGGGATGACGGCCATTATTCCTCCCATGTGATGGAATGTGCCTTTTCCATCTAGCGTATTTACATTGAAGTCGGCGTTGTGGAAAATGAACTGGCTGAATGGATTGGCTGACTCATCAACTATGGCTTTCTCCGCCTACAACACATAAGAACCCTAAAGTCTAGAAGCTTCATCATAGGTAGCTGAAAGTCCTAACTTCGCTAGGAGGTTAACAAGAAGTTTTGATCCAAAATTCTTGTAAACATACATGTTGTATGTGTTGGAGGTGTCAGTTGCACCGCGACCTGGTAGATCTATTGTACCCCAACTATACATTGCAACCCCAATTATATTAGGTGATAAAAATTTTGGTCGGACGGCTAGCATAATGGCATGTGCCAGAGCAAGACATTTTTTCTTCGACGATTCCAGTGAACCCCGTTTATTTGTCAATATAATAGTATGAAGAAGAAGAAGCAGTGTCTCCAGAAGAACATGATGAGAATCACCATAAAAATTATTAATTGGGGGATAAGCTTCAGTGTTAAACATTTTAGATAGGATATCCTCTATAATAATTCTACTTGCAGTTTTCACAATTCGATTTCTTTCTTCTTGAGGGTCTCCGTTTTTCTTTTCGTTCAGGTACCACTGTCAAACAAAATTCTGTGGACAGTGTTCTTGAAACATACGACACTTTCTCTGTTGAGTGAACCAGAGATGATTATTGTCATTTCCATACTTTTTCTCCAGGCGCTTTTTCACAGTCTTAACGTGTGGATGAAAATTTTCGGGTACCTTATCAAGCAACTATCCAAGGGAGAACAGGCACTCGCCCCTGTTTTCCTCGAGAAAACTAAATATAATTTCCATGGCTTGATCTATGTTGCGAGTAGGTCGTCCCGGCTTTTTGTGGAAACGTGTAGATATTTTGTAAAAAATTTGAATACACTTTTGATGGTATTCCGCGTTAAGCGCAACTAAATCTGTTTCTATATTAATCAATAGGCCTATACGGTCTTCAACTTTTTGTCCCCATTCATCACCTCGCTGTCTTGTGTATGACAAAATCGTGTTTGCTACCTCTGGAAGCGTCACTTTAACCAAAGGATTGTGTCTTTCCTGGAGTAACTTCATTTGTTTTTGTCTGTACTCCTCAGTAACCTCTTCTTCACAAAAGAAGCACTTGTTGAATTTGAATGATAATGATGTACCTTAGCGCGCGTTGGTTTGGGGACAGTAGCAGGGGTGTCACGCTCACAACCCAAGGAGGTCAAAATCAATTTATCGTTATTATAATTTTTTTGACAAGATGTGTGAATTTTAATTTTTTCCACTCTTTCGAGTAACCGTTGATGATCAGGCTTTTTCCGCTTCAAACTGGTAGCAAGAAGCGTATCAATTCCTCTTTTTTTTAACTACAACCGCTTCACGTTCCGCCAAACTTTCTTCGCACATGAAACACCGTTCTAACATTATTTCAGATGCCATATTAACTTAGCAGTACCACGAAAACAATACACGATGAAACTAAACACAAACAGTAAGTAGGAATTTGATGTGGACTACTGAGCCCAGGCCCGTTCGCATCTAAACATTCCGGTATAGGATTCGGCACCTAGGCATATTTCATTGGTCCGTTTGAATTCGGACCGCCAATTGATGCGGAGAGCCGAAATCGGTACTTGAATGTTGAACGGTGCTGAGCCTCAGGTCAGAATGGTATAATACTATGTGGAGTGCCGAATTTAAGGTCAAAATGTTAAACAGTGCTGAGTATCAGGTCCGAATGTTGCCATGCGTTTGGCGCGGTTTTTATATTAAATCAGCTGTCCACCTCCTTTTGCTCACCAAATTTACCGAGCCAACATTTTGGAGGAAAACGATATACAGGGTGTCCCAGCCGAGAGTGACCCATCTTAAATGCTTATAACTTTTAAACCAGGTGAGCTAGCTACCTGCGGTTTGTGCCATTCGATTTCTCTTGGTCTAAAGTTTTTTCTAGTAGGTTTCAAATTTTTTTGAAAACTTATACAGGGCGAGTAAAAAAAAAATCCGTTTTTCAACACCGAAATTCTCCACTATTTTCAATGGAACGCCCTGTATATCGCAACGTCAAAAAATAGATTCATGTTTAAGGTATCCATGTACTAATAGACATCGTCCCTAAAACTTGAATTTTTAGTCGTAAAAAATCAAATTCGAAATCTTGGTATTTTTGCAAACACCTATTTTCAAAGCTTCAACCTTATGTTTGCCTAATAAAAAGTTAATAACAACTACATAACACTATACAAAAAGCTGTAGGTACCTATATGTATATGTTAGCCATTCTGTTCCAGGCATTTGTGGATCAATAAATGGTTGAATCAATTGTGTAACATTTCCTGGAGAATCGCTTCAATGACATTACAAATGTTCCACTTAAGATCTTTCAGGGTATTTTAGCAAAGTATTGCCGCATTCCTTGACATAACGCCAGAGAAAAGAGTCTAGAACTCTCAAGTCAAGAGAGTAAGGTGTCCATTCTATAGGCCAGCGGCCAGCTCTCCTTATCCGTGTTTCCCCAAATGTCATAT